GGCGTTTTTTCAGGCTAAAAAGGGAAAATCCCCCGGGGGTGGGTTTGAACCGGGGACCCCCTTTGGGGGGGAAAAAAAAAAGTTTTTTGGGGGTTTCCCCCGGCCCGTTTTTTTGGGGGGCTTTCCAAAGAACCCCGGGGTTAAATTTCCCCATTTGGGGAAAACCCGGCCCCGCCATAAATTGGGCCCGGGCCCCCCCCCCGTTTTTTTTCATTGGGAGAAACCCATTGGGGGTTTCCCCCCCCCCCCCCCCCCCCCCCCCGGTGCTCCTCCTCCTCCGCTTCCCCTCGGGTGTATTGTAGCACGTGGGCCAGGGCTTCCCCCTCGACTGGTTCACGCACACGTTCAACAAGCTGTCCGTTGCCATGAGCGTCCTCGCGGTCGCCACGGGGCCGGCCGTCACGGCCGCCCACGACCTCGCGGGGGGCTCGGTGGGACCGTTCAAGCTCTCCCTGGTCCTCACCGCGGTGAACGGTTGCCTGCTCCTCTCGTGGCGGCGGGACTCGAACAAGCCCCCGCCGGCGTGCGGCGACATCGTGCGGCTGGTCTCGCGCGCCTGGGCCGCGATGGCCGGCGGCAACGGCGGCGGTGGGGGCAGAAATATTGCCCTGGTAACTGCCGCGCAGGCTTGCTTCGAGGCAGCAACGTTCGCGTTCGCGCTGCTTTGGACCCCTCTCCTGCGGACTGCCGGAGGTGGCGACGACGGCTACCCCGGGCCGGAGCTGCCTTGGGGCATGGTGTTCTCGCAGCAGCTGGTGCGTGGTCGTCTGTTCTTTTGCTCTTCTGGGGTAGCGTACGACTGCTGTGCGCGCGTTAATGCTGCTCTGTTCTCTTGCCGGTGCCGTCTGGGACTGATTGCCGAAGCATGATTGCATTCGACGTCGCTCTGCTGTGTTACTCTCACACTCGCGTTTTTTCTTGTTCGTTTCCCTGGTAAAAGAACGAACAGACCCCGGTAAAAAGCAGTGCGCACAGATCGTACGACGCTTTCGGCAACCTCTCCGTCCCTCTGCTGGTGCACCAGCAGCAACCGCTGTCACAAGCATGTGGAACATCAGCCGACACCCCTCTCGGCCGGCCCCACCCCCATGCCTTCGTCGTTTTGTCACAGGCCTGCGTCATGATAGGTTCCGTCGTGTTCAAGCTCGCCATGTCCCTTTCCCCCGGAACGACGGCGGAGAAGATGTGCTTCTGGGCCAGCGCGGGGGGAGCCTTGTGCTTCTTCGCGCTGTCGCTGGGGCTCCCGCGGCGCGGGGTACAAACCGCGCTGCTGGGGTACGAGTTGTGCGTGGGGCTTTACCTGAACGCCATGGGCATGATGAGGAGCAAGCACATTCCGCAAGAGGTGCGCTATACGTTTGAGTAATGAAAAAAGTCGGGGCCGGGAAATGGCAGGCTGGCATGGAGGTCGGGGACCAAGGAGTGAGCAGCGCGTGGGGGCGCTTCACTAATTGGTTGCTTCGGAGAGGAAGCACCCGACTGCTCGGGGAATGAGCGCCGTTTCCCGTTTGTTCTGCGTCGTTTTGGTCGTGATGATGGATCAAGAGTGTCAAGTACCGCCACAGCTTTATTGTTGTTGTTGTTCTGTTTCCCTTCAACCCCTCCCCCTGTCGCCTTTTCTACCGATCCCCTCCCCAGGCATCCCGCCATCCTCTGTTGACACAAACCACTGCTACACTCATGGCGGACAACGAGAGGTGATTGCTTGTAAACCTCCCGCCCGCGTTCGCTCGCCTTCGCTTGCGACGCTCTCCTTTACACAGGTCCGAGGCCTGGTCCTGGCGGGCAGCAAGCTCGTCACCACGACGGCGCTGTTCGTGCTCCTGGTCTTCTTGTCGGAGAACAGGAGCATCGCCACCGGGATGTGCGGCGCGCTGCTGACGGCAGCGGCGGTCTGCTCGGCGCGATCGGCGAGGGAACACGGCGACGGCGGCGGCGACGACGGCGCGTTCGCTGACGACGGGCAGGCCTTGAGCGGCGGCAAGGGGGGTGGGCAGAAGCGGAAGCAGCAGCAGGGCGACCACGAGGAGGAGGGGGCAGAGTTGATCGGAAGAAGATGACCCATCGCTCGGGTGGTTGGGTTCGGACAGTACAGGGGTAGGTTGTTGTAGGAAAGCCTTATCGTTGGTCAGGTGCGCAGCATGCACACCGCCAATACATGCCGGTCTTCCGGCCTTCCTGCCAGCTTGTACATGTTGTAATTTTTCTTGTCGGTGAGGTGGGGTGTGTGTCTCCCGGTGGTGGCTCGTGGAAGGTTTGGAAGCTCCCTGCGTTGTGTACTGTACGTCGCGTGTTTCTCTATGACTTGTGTTGCAGAGGCGGGGGCTTGAGTAAAGCGGCGGGCCGGTGGTGGTGCGATGCCTAGCGTGCGCCTGGTCCGCTTTTGCGTGATGTGGGAAAATCGAAGACGTTGCGTTTCCCCCGGTTTTTCTCGTGTGATGGCGTAGCTGTTGGAAGTGATGATGACGTAGCCGTTGTCTCGGGAGTTTGGCCTTTGATCGGCATCGCTGTGCATTGTGCTTTTCTTGCCACCCCTTTCACACGTGCCGGGCGATGCCCCCCGGCAATTACCACCAGTACACATTTCAGCCCAGTCCGTGCGCGAGCTCTTGTCTCTGATCACGTCGAGACACACAGCGAGAGAGAGAGGGAGAGAGAGACGGGTTAGTACCCCATGATGGCTGCCGCTTGTGAGGGGGGGGGGGGGGTTGACGGTGTGGTACCGAAAGGGGGTCGTCATGGCGACTGCTAGTAGGATCAGTTTCAAACCGTGCGGCGCAACTCTACCAGGAGCTTCAAAGCCACCAGAGTGTGGGTTGGCTCTGGGGATTCCTCCCTCATTGTATCATTGTACTACAACGACCGGGGCTTCTTCCGAGAAGACTTGCTCTTTGCTTTTTGTGAGCCAAAATTTGCACCGCGTGGTGTTCCTGTATTGGTATCGCTCAAGCTAGAAAAAGTTCACTAGTTTCCTCCCCTTAAATAAGCGGGATGCGAGGTCAATGTACACCCCCCTACACAAGCGGGTTGTGGCGGAAGGGGAGTGCTTAGCGTGGTTCATCCACTTGGAAACGAACAAATCAACAGCTTGAAGGCAGCTTCCACCAAGGCGGTGCTTGTTGCGCCGAGCGAGGTTTGGTGCGCAGTCGTGAAAGCCGTTTCAAAGTCGAGAGAGCGAGGAAGAGAGAGAGCAGCAAAAGGAGAAATTACTGCGACCTCCAGAGGGGATGTGATTTGTCGAGTCAGAATGGTAGTGCCCCAAAATTGGACCGCTGTACGTTGCTCGACGACGCCTCTTGCACGTAGAAAGTGAAGATATGACCGCGGCCGTAGCAATGGCGCAAAAGCCTCTACTGGCTGGCGCGCGGAACAAGCACTGCTGCGCCGCTCGTGGACGGCTCGCCTGTCAGCTGTTCACACTCATTTACAACACACGCGCGGGTGGAGGTGCCACCTACCGCAGGTTTTATTTTATATCACACCCCGTGGACTGATTTTCAAAGCTCGATTACTCGGCAGAAAAAGCGGTGATGATGCCGAGAATGGCAGCGTTGGAACCGCCTCGTCGAGAGCTTTCCGAAAGCTTATCCTTGGATTTCGACATCGTTGTCCTTGTGGAGTGATCGAGCTTTGGAATCGGTCCAGGGGGTGTGGTATCGTATGCCGCAAGCGAGACGCATTCCGCGCCCATCAGCATTCCGAGCTCTTGAACCTGTGCTCCACTCCGAGGGTCCCGAGGTGCTCCAACAACGCGGCGCGCTCTCGCGCCCGGAACGCCTTCTTGTCCACCAACGCCCCGACCCCACCAGCAACCCCTCCCCCCGCACCCGGAAACGCCGCCCGGGTGCTCCGCACAGCCTCCGTCACTGCTTCCCGCCACGTGCCCTCCCCACCTCCCCGCCCGAAATCGAGCGCGTACGACGCCAACATGTGGCCGACGTATGAGCCGCTGCGCCGGGCGAGGTCGCCCGGCTTCGGCGCGTAGTGCCCCCCGCCGATGCAGACGAAGGCGGAGCGCTCCGCCCGGGCGGCGGGGTCCAGGTCACGCCAGTTGATGTCGCCCGCTGGTGACCCGTCGAGGCCAAGCATCCTGGGGGAGTGGGCCGTGTTTTTTTGTTTGGGGTGCGATACAAGGATAAGGTGGCTGCGCATCATGTGTGCGGGGGAAGGCCAACAGCATGCCGGAAGGGTCAACGGGCCATGTTTGCTGACCCACCGGTCGCGATCAGAATGTGTGCGACTTTGGGTGTCGTGCAACGGCGTTGATCCATCGCTACGCCCAGCACTCATAAAAACAGTGTGATTTCCGCACCCCGGTCTAAATTCGACGCAACGTAGATGCGCCAGTCCAAGCCCACCTCAATATGTGGGCAATTGTTTGTGCCAAAGTAAGCAATACGAGCCACACAACTTCACAATAGCAGCAATGCCCAAGAAAGACTTCAATTACTAGTAGTTGCTCGTAGAGCTTGAAGAGTGCCAATTCTTTGCACCATGCTGTTTTCCGACAGGGCCAGAGGGGGCTATTCGCCGTCCCGCTCACGAGCATTTTATTTCGGGCCGCTGCACCTTGTGAGAACGTTCGCCCAAACCTCTGCCGCGTCGGCTCGTCCCCAGTGCTCCTCGCTCGAGCCGATCTCGACGAACACTGTTGGCGGGGGTTGGAGCAACACAACGAAGGAACGAAGACAGCAGTAAGTCATGGAACACAAATCACGTAGAAATGACTCCACAATGTGCCATGGAAATCGTTTAGCTACACAACGCGGTGATTCCTGGTATGTACACGAGCAACACCGTATCTTAGAATGTGGTTCCATCGCATCTTCACAGTCAATTCACCCGCGGTCAAACTTGAAGCACGGTTTTTTGCCGGATGAAACAAACACACAAAAGGCCATAAAAAAAAAACACGGACCCCTGAAAATACCGTAGCTGAACACTATGGTTGGCGAAACGGCACCGCTATCCCCACACACTCACTCGCTGGTGTCTCCAACCACGGGCCGTGATGCGTAACTTCGAGCGTGGTGTCGAAGGAGCTGTCCAGCCCTGCTTCTCGCGCTGCACGGCCAAGCTCTCTTAGGCAGCCCGCCAGGCGCGGCGACGGGGGTGGACATCGGCCGGGCTTGCCTCCAGCTTCCTTTGAGGATGACGGCTGGTCACCGGGAGATGTATGGCGTTGTCGGCGGGTTGTTGGTCGGCGGGCCGCGCGGACGGGGGACACGGCGCGACGAATTCACTTCTGTTTCGTGGAAGGAAAGGATCGTGGATCATGTTTCCCCCCAGGATGATTATTGTCAAGACGTTAGACGGGATGGACGTCAACACGTTACACGGGATGAGTGTCAACTGCACCGGTGCCCGCACAGATGCCGCGCACGCCGGTAGACGAGACGATGGCGTTTAAAGAGGTTGACAACACATCACTGCTTCTACAGTAAGTCACAGACCTAAATAATAATTAGGGTCCAACACGGCGGTTGGTTGTGTTTTTCGGCTGAGGGGGATTCAGAGAGAACAAGTCCGGCATGATGCGACACAGCGCAGTCAAGAAAAACAGCAGTACTGTACACAACAGTTCATGAAAAACAATTCTACTAGCTACAACGACCACCAACCGATACTGCCCTCACGCCCTTCCCCAACAACCCACGTTCGGGACGCCGATGGGGTGAACGCAGAGCGCGGGGACGCCGGACTTGGCCACGTGCTTGCTCAGGAACACAACATCGCTGGGTAGAGCCAAGGGTTCACGCTGCTCCCGTGACGGCTTCTCGTCAGTGCTCCCTACCGACGATGCCGAAGCCCACCTCCTGTCCGCATCGTCAAGATCGAGAAGCCTCCCTTCTACCAACCAGAGGGATGTTGGTGAATGCTTGTGCCGGTACGCCTTGCCGTTCCGTGTGCCATCACGCTCAACACCAGGTTCCGTCTCCAACCAGTTGCCGCGGGCAAGCAGAGCTTCCGCCATCGCCCGTCCTGCCGCATCTTGCTTTGAACCGACCAAAAGAGTCGACGCTGTGGCGGTGGTAGCAGGGGGGGGGCTATGGCTTGTTGATGATGATGATGCTGTCGCGGAGCATGTTGTTGCTGCCGTTGCGAGGCGGCGACGCACGGCGTGCTGCAACAATTTGCTTCGTGGGTTTGGCCACAACGCGAAACAGGGCAGTCGCAACAAGGCAAAAATGCTAGCCTTTCGGAAAGCCACTGTCATCCTCTTCACTCACACGTGTACACTCACACCTTTTGGTTAAACACTCCCCGCACACAACACCTACACACACTTGCATTGTTGAGATCAGATCTCGAGCTATCCGAGCGTGTGAGTACGTTAGAACCATAATGACGAGTGCAAACCCCCGGGGATGCTTACCTAGCGTCCCCTACCCTCCCGCTCTTCCTGTCTCTCAACTTTTCAAATTAATCCCAATCGCAAGCGCAAACGCATTACCCGACCATGGTGGGCACAAGGTCAAGACCACCGGCTAATGATGTTGACGGCGAACGCAACAACAGCTCTGGCTCAGATGACAGAGAACCCACGGGAGCGGAAGCGGCGGCGGCGGCGGAGGCGGCGGCGGCGACTGAACTGAGACCGCATCGAAATGCTCGGCCAGCAACGAGGTTCTCCTTGCAGCCGCCGAACAACAACAACGACGACGACGACAACAACAACCGTCAGAGCAACCGCAACAGCAGCTCCTCAGCCGCCGGCATGACGTCTCGCCAAAGATCAGCGAGAATCTCGTCCGGACAGCAAGCGTCGTCGTCGGCTCGCACTTCGCTGGAACGGCTCCCTCCAGCACAACAGCAGCAGCAGCAGCAGCTCCAAGGAAAGACGCCCGAGACGCCTCCACGGCGTAGCTCGCGCAACTCAGCGGGCATAAGCAGGTCTCAAGCGCAACAGCAAGCAGAGGAAGAAAGCGCCGCTTCGTCTGCAGCGAGACAAGGTCGGAGTAACAGCGGCAGCAGCACCAGGGCGAACGCTGAGCTCAACGCTCTCCTCGGGCTGGACGCTGCGGTGCGTGAAATGGACAAATATTTGAATTTGGTTCGGAAACTATTATACAACGCCCGACCGCCGCCCACCGCGGTACATTATGATTTACTGTAAGACTTTGAACACGGCCCCGTTTTGACCAAAAAAGACGATCAAGCAAGCATCGTCTTACACCACGGCAGTTCCGGCGATCCGCGGTAGGAACTCTCCTGAGCTGTTCTTCATGGCATGTTTCGCCATCATGGTACCATCGTCTTCCCTCATTTTTGCATGCGCACAGCGCTTGACCACACCTTCAGAACATAACATGGCATATATCGTGCTTGTTTTGTGCGTCTCGGACTCGGTTTGGACGTTGTACGTACGCACACCCAAAGTGAGGACATTTCTGTCTCCCGGAGTTGAATCACGGGGATGGGGGAACGTACTGCTGCCATTCCGTTTACAACGAACAGAGGGAATATATGCAGGGTAATGGTTCCTTGCTTAGCGTGCTCCCCACCTCGGCCAGCATAGCTAGCCCTACGTTTCAGCATAATATTGCCAGCCCCTTGTTCCAGTTCACAACGTCGCAAACCTCCTCGATCACGCCGAGCTCAACCAAGTTTTTAGAACAATTTTTTTCTTTTGTGGCATCAGCGCTTCAACCTCGGCTGCGGCATCGAGCAGTGAACTCTTGGATATTTGGATGTTGTGCCCCACCATGGCGCCGGTGGCATAGCAGCGCGGGCGGCAACTGTTTTTTTTTGTATTTGTTGTGGTATTTTACCCCAGAGCAAGGGGGCAGGCTCATGTTTTTCCCGAATCTGTTGTACAATATCCGCCTGGATACGTGTCCCTACCTTCGAGAGTGCAGAGAAGCGGCACCAAGCACTACAGCCCTATGCGTCTCGCGCGCTGGGTCGAAGCGTCCATGCCTTGTGATATCATTGCGCTGGCGAGAGCTCTTCCGCAAATGCCGACTTCCCCTTGCACACCGGTGACATCTCTGGAACTTGATTGGAATCTGGTGCTGTCGCGTATAAACCTCGCGCCGAATCTCGCCTGAGGCAAAATCTGTCAATGCTGCTGCTTTGCACGTGGGCTTAGGAAAAGCCACACTCAAAAACGCCCGCAACACACTTTTTGTCTACGCTGCGCCCCTCCCCTCCAACAGAACCAGCGCCTCGGATGGCCTGCCCACGCTGAATCTTCTTCTGAAGAAGAGGAGGAAGAAGAGGAACTCGTCGTTCAAAGCCGTCGCAGATCTTGGCCCACCGGCAAGCGCTCGGAAGGCGGGGGAAGGCGGGCCGCGCGCAAGGGAGCCCGCGCTGCCGGCGGTAGTGCTGCCGCCACGGTGGAGCGGGTTGGGCTGCGGGGCGGCGGCGGCGGCGGTGGTGGGAGGCAGAGTGCCAGACTTAATGCGGCGGCTGCCGAGGGGGAGGCGGTAGCTGCAGAGGGCGGCGCCGGCCGGCCGAAGTACTCTTTCCGCGACCGCAATACCCTTAAGCAGACGGAATTCTTCACCTATGAAAAGGTGCAGCAGCAGCAGCAGCAGCAGTAATCATTTTTCGGGGACGGGTAACGCTGTTGAACACGGGGGTCGAGGGAGGGAAAATACCCCGAGAAAGCTACTGGGAAGTAAAACTCTCAGGTGCCCGATCGGCAGAGCCACATTGCTTCGAGGAGTAGGCGGTAAAGTAGCTCCGCGTGCGTCGTGCTGATCGTTCGTCGAAGGCAAGCGATAACAACTCCACGGTCTGCTACAAACGCCACGTTTCCCCGCGGTTGTAAATGGTGCACAGCTCGGGACCCAGCGTGCGCGCGATGCCTGCCCGCGTGCCTTTGATTCGGCGTGGCTCTCTGAGTGTATAGTTTGTCATATTTCTCCCCATGTGCCTCATGTGTGTGCTGTCTTAATTAGTATCGACCGCGCTAACCGGCTGACCAATGAAAATACGTCAGTCTTGTAGCGGGACAAACAACACGATGACCAAAGGGGAAGGGTTCTACCGACAGGGGGGACGCAGGAGTTGGACGACAGTCAGTCCTGTGTTGTGCGTGTTTAGCGTGTGTTTTCCGTTGCGACCCCGCCGGCCTCGTATACAGCATGTGAAATGTCACCCCCAACTCACCCCCTGTACGCCCCATTTGCTCACCCTCTCGTTCGGTGGTGGCGCTATCAGGAAGAGGAGAGTGAAGAAGGGAGCGAAGAGGAGGAGGAGGAGGAGGAGGACGAAGAAGGAGACGAAGAGGAGGAGGAGGAGGAGGAAGGAGAGGAAGAGGAGGAGGAAGAAGAGGAGGAGGCCAACGTGGCGACAACGAAACGGACCAACAAGAAGCAGAGGCGCTACAAGTTCCGCAAGAGGGAGATCACGAAGCGCCACGTTTTCAACGTCACCGCCGAGGAGAGGCAGCCGCGCAGGGTGAGGGTCAAGGCCAGAACAAATTAATTACAAAAGGAACCAAAAAAGCCATCGCTGTTTGCGAGCAAAGGACGCGTCCCCACCAAGTCTTCTTCGTGGGCTACACGTTTTTTTGTGCGTATGTGTTGTGTGTTTTTCATCGTCTTGCTGCTGGCCTCTTCGCTTCTTCGGAGGCGTTCTCTGTTGGGTTTGATACCACCGTAGCACCGTAGGTAGCGTCTCCGTCCTCTGTTGGCATCATGCTGCATCATACGCATGATTTATTTATTTTTCTACTTTCGGCCGCCGTGCCGTTGTATACGATGTATGTGGTTTCTTTCAAACATCCCACGTTGCGCTCCCCCCCCCCCCCCCCCCCCCGGCCCGGCGCCCGAAAACTTCGCTTTCTTTTGCCCCGGTTGGCGCAAGAAGGGACCCCCCGCCCCGCTTTTTTTTTTTGGGCTCTCCCAAAAACCCCCCAAAACCTCCCCTAACAAAAAGGGTCCCCAAAGGTCCTGCAGCCACAAAGGGGAAACTTATGGTGCGCGTTTAAAAAAAAACCACCGCCTCATGCCGAAAAGAAAAGGGAAAAAGGACCCCTTTACCGAAGTAAGGGGTGGCCCCACCCACAAACACCCCACGGGGGCGGAAATCGGGATTTGGGTGGGAAGCTTGGCCCCTCCGGGTGGGGGGTCCCTCGCCTTTCTGGGGGGGGGCATTTTTTTTTC